TAGGAAGCACCTTGACCGTCTGGAAGCTGCGCAACCAAGAGCAGAGGAAAAAAGGAAGAGAACAGGCCTTGCCGGATCATCCAGCTCCACAGCAACACAGAAATAGATGATGCAGCAGATGATGGGTATGATGCAACGAATGGCAAATCGTCAGGATTGGTTGGTTGAGCAGACCCACATGATGTATGAGATGCAAAAGGATAGCTTTAGCGAGCTCAACGTTGACACTTCAAGATTCCAATGGACCGACTGGGATTCAGATGAGTGGATGGGCTCCGAATCAGAAGAGGAAGAAGAGGAAGATGAGGAAGATGGGGGAGGCGAAGAATGAGAACCGTAGCACCTGTTTTTGCTTTTCTTTATTTTATTTTGTTTTAGTTGAATTGGTTTTTCATTTGAAACATTAAACTCAGTCTGTAATTTTGGTTTTGGTTTGTGTAGTTGTTTTAGTTGTTTTCTTTTTATTTGTAAATGTTGCAAAGACGAGATTAGGTTGTAATATTTTCAAGTTAGTTTGTGAATTTTTGCTAACACAAGGGACACCACAATTTCAATTTTTTTGACAGATTCTGGGTGATGAAAAGTCCGAGACCGAGTGTTTATTGTGGAACGATACTTCACGGATTAACCAGGGAGCTTTCTCGTACCTCTGTTATTTTTGATTTTCTATTCCTGATTTATGCGTAATGGAACATTGGAGACAATGTCATATTTAGTTGGGGGGTAGGAAATAGAAATAAAGCCTAGTTTAAGGGTATATCGGCTGGAAACCAGAACCTGCCTTAAAAACTGCCTAGCAGTACTTAGCAACCTTTGGTTTAACAACGCCACGTACACCTTAAACGAGAAAAAAAAAAAAAAAAACTTAAGTTAACTTTTTTTCTTTAGTTTGATTGTTTTTGCCGATGATGAATTGTATAAATCAATGATGAGAATAGGCTTGTTACAATTTTATTGTTGAGAAATGTTAGACATTGCTTCAAGTTTATGTTTATTGACTGAATTTTGATTGAGGTTTGTTGAGTGGTTCAGCCACAATTTTCATTTATTTCGGCATGCTCAGATTCATTTTATGTGATTAGGTGAAGTTTGATAATGTTGGTGGATTCTAGAACCTAGTAGAGAAGTGCTTGAGGCAAAATTCTAGGATTAGACATGAGTGAGGAAATGATTTAGGCATTCTTTTTGAACGTTTGAGCCTTTCTAGCCGACCCATAAATGAAATTGTCCCTAGTCACCCATTTGAGCTGTGTGAATTATATTGCTTTATTTTTCTTGGAAAACAACAAAATTGTCCAATCCTTATACCCTAAACACTTTATCGTACCCTTAGGAGAATTCGGTCTTAATGCAAACACAAGGAATAGAAAGAGTTGTGCGAATAAGCCAAAAGAATAGTTTGGGGGTTGTGAGAAGGGCAGTATGAAAGAAGGAGGAAGTTCACCTCAATTCAATGGTTTTGTCTCGATTGTATACATATTTTGATGATAAAAAAAAAAAAAATTCTTTTGTCAAGTTGAAGGGTATCTCGGCTGGAAACCAGTAACCGCCTTAAAAACTGCCTAATAGTACTTGGCGACTTCGGCTTTAACAACGCCACGTACACCTTCAACCTGCGCATTTATGGTATCAGAAATAAGAAAGACACAAGCTTGAGGGGTGTAATTAGTGGATACATTGATTGGTGTACATTGATTGGTGGGTAAGCAAAAGTGGAGTTCGATTTAACTTGAGTGTTTGCATGACGAAAACCGAGTTCTCTTACTTTGTATTTTCCTATCCTTTTTATTGGAACCCACTACCCGAACCTAATGGTATAAGCTTTTAAAGACCTTTTGATTCTCATCTTCGTCTGGTACTCATTAGTGGAGAGTAGTTCGATATTTAGGCTTATGGAGTCTGCCATCATTTGATAAACTTTACATTTTTGCATAAAATAATCCGGGGCGGCTCAAGTAGCCACATGTCACCGAGCCTTAACACCACGGGTATTCTACCTGGGGCACGGCTGGTGTTCGCTGGCCCCTCGGAGCCTCTAGGCCCGCTCTTCGCCACTTGCTTTCCCTTTCGACGCGCTGTACTGCGTGCGGCATGGGCTATCGCCCTTTTTCGCGCTTTCATGCGACATGCAGGCGTTTTTAGCGGCTGCACAACCTCATTTGATTCGGGTGGCACGACCCGATCCAACCGGTCCAGCCTTTGATTGACCATTTGGAGAGTATTGTCGAACCTCTCCTGCTAGCTCATGACGGTTGGGTCAAGCCGCAAGCTCGAAGGGATATCCCCCATGGTATTTTGCAGGACTGAGGGCACCTCGGGAGAAGTGTCCTCTTGTACCTGGGGGATTTCTTCATTACCATGATTGGTTCGCTCAGATTCAAATCGGCGAGCCATTTGCTGTTGTGGGATTGATTAGTTAGAGATTCTCCTGATGAAAAAAAAGCACTAAATCAGGCCCTCCTTCTAGCGCCAAACTGTTGATACTTGATTTTGACACCAACTAAACGCATGTGTGAAATGCTGAGCTGACTCAGAAGACACACATGAATGGGAGTATTGAACCGAATAAGATGTAAAGCAATGTTTAAAATTGTTCGAATGCTTAAACAAACGAATCCTACATCCACTGATATTGTATTAATATATAAGATCAGGTCGCGCTTAGCGAGCTGATTTACAAATGATTACAAGAGGGAGAGAGAAAGAATATGTGTGCTATTCCAGACATAAATTAGCTAATCCCACAAACGGGAGAGGAGCTTTCTATTGATAGTGAGATGAGTTGAGGTAATGATTACTGAATCTGTGAATAGGTCAGATTGCCATGCAAATCCTTCCTTGTGTCCCATTATTCACCTACTCGAGTGATTTACTCGGCTTGTGTAGGGATTGGACACGTGGACCTTCTCCATCCTTTCATTAATCTGGCACACACCTGTTGCACTGGCAGGAGCATGCTACTCACGTCAGCACGCGACGTGGCTGCGTCTGGATAGCTATAGGACTTACCTACGCTCTAACCGCTTACGCTGATAGGGCTCTACGTCAGCCCTACTTTCTCAGGCATAACACTCAAGAATACTAAACGTGCAGTGCTTAAAATTTCCATAAGTGCTGTATCCAGCTTTGTTGTGGTTTTTATTTTAATTTTATTCATTTTGGGGTGTAGACGAGAAGCAATGGACTCAGTTCCCAACACTGGGGTTTCAATGGTTCCAATTTCTTCTCCTATCGCCAAGTCAGGTAAGTCCTGTGGCTTAACTCAACCATTTGATGATCTTTGTACCCACTTTTCACTTTCTGAAATCAAAGTAGCAACAAACAACTTCGACGATATTTTAGTAATCAGGGTTGGAGGGTTTGGTAACGTGTACAAAGGCTGGTTCATTAATAATGAGGCCACTCCTATTGCCATCAAACGCTTAAATCCAGGATCACAACAGGGTGTCCTCGAATTCAAAACAAAGATTGAAATGCTCTCCTAGCTCAGACACCGTCATTTGGTCTCTCTAATTGGTTACTGCGACGACGATGGTGAGATGATCCTGATATACGATTACATGGCTCGTGGAACCCTTCGTGATCATCTTTATAAAGCAGATAATCCTCCTCTTTCATGGAATCAACGGCTCAAGATTTGCATTGGCGCAGCTCATGGTTTGAATTATCTTCATACAGGCGCAAAGCACATTATCATCCATCGCGATGTGAAGACAACAAACATTTTGTTGGATGAGAGTTGGGTGGCCAAATTTTCGGATTTCGGATTGTCCAAAATTGGCCCCTCTAGCATGTCCCAAACTCATGTTAGTACAATGGTGAAAGGCACTTTCGGATATTTGGATCCCAAGTACTTTCTTTTTCAGGAGCTGACAGAAAAATCTGATGTGTACTCATTCGGTGTAGTGTTGTTCGAAGTATTGTGTGCTAGACCACCTGTACTTCGCGCGCTGAATAGGAAGCGAGTTTGGCTGATGGGGCCCAACAATGTTATAACAATGGAACATTTAATCAGATTGTTGATCCATTTTTGATGGATAATATAGGACCTGAGAGTCTGAAGAAATTTGGTGAAGTAGCAGTGAGCTGCTTGCATGAAGATAGGCATAAACGACCATCGATGAGTGAAGTGGTGTATGGACTTGAGTTTGCATTGCAGGTTCAGAACAGTAAGAAGAAGGATGACGAAGTTGGTGAGATTGATAAGGGAAAAGGCCTGCTGATAACTATGTAAGTGATGATGATAGCGGTCTCTTGTTCACCGATTATTTGGAATATTAAAAACGGATCAATCTGTGACCATAGCATTTAGTTATTATCAAAGTTTTTGTACTAAATGTAAATGTCTAGATAAATCGATTTGTGTTCTTTATATTTTGCCACCTACAAGAACAACCAACAAAACTATTAATTTATTCTATTTCGTTCTATCCATCTCTATTCTTTTCATTCGATTTAAAGAAGTTGAGTTGGTTATTTCAATTATCGTCTTTAACAACTTTTGAATGATTAGATTACACTATAACCTTATTAAAATTGAAAAAAATTAATAAATGTGAGTTATATTAATTCCTATATATTAGCTTCGTTTCATTACATATGGGGAGTGAAAAATTCTTTTAGTTATAAAGCTGTAATCCTTACAATCACTGTAGTTGATTAAAGCTTTTGTATAAATTGAAGTTGGAAGAATTGAAAACAGAGAAAAAAAATTCGTCTCTTCAAAAAGTTTCTTTGTTGTTGTTATTCTTCTTTCCTTTACATTCCAGCTGTAACGAACAATTATAAAGCTACGTTTTCTTCTTAGTAATTTGAATTTTATCTCATCAACTAGTCAAAACCAATGTGGCCACCATTGATTCTGATACAATTGAAGACGTTAGCTAGCAGACTAGCATAGATAAGTACATATCACTCAATGACTTGAAGTCTTTGGCAGCATTCGAAGTCTTCTACAGAAATGCCAAACCTTCTTTTCTTTTTTTGCTTGTATGGTCAAAATATAACTTAATTTTCTTGTCCATGATCTCAGAGCTATCCACACTGCAATAATGATTGATCGAAAGTCGCTTTAATTGCAGAGAGCGAGAAGTGGGAACAAAGATTGGACGGTAGAGATGAGCTACGAGACTTTGGTTGACTTGATCGTGGATGAAGAAAATGGGGCTCAGAATGACGCCCCTATAGTGCTGGAATCTGAGTCCTTGACTTCCTTGACTTCTCCTGCTCGCCGGATAATTGAGTAAAAATAATGGATGATAGTCGAAATAATGGAGAAGAGTCAATGCTAAAGCTGAAATTTTGGAGCAAGATAAAACGTGCTTTTTCTGTAACATGTAAGGGTACAACACGGTTTGGTCGTGGGTGGAAAAAGAAACTGTTGTAAAATTAACATTATCCTGTCTCCTTGATTTGGTCTAGGTTTCTTATGCTAGTTGCTTTTGATCTTCAAATGCAGCATTGTACCATTCTTGGTGTCGAAGAAAAGAGAGGAAGTAATCCTGGAGATGATCAGATGACTCAGACATTCAAACAGAGTTCTATGGTCACAGATTGATCGAGACATGTACATTTGATAGAAAAACTTTGATAATAACGAGTTGCTATGGTCACAGATTGATCGCTCTTTAAAATTCCAAATAATCGGTGAACAAAAGATCGCTATCATCATCAGTTCCATAGTTCTCAACAGGCATTTTCCCCTTATCAATCTCACCAACTTCGTCATCCTTATCCTCACTTTTCTGAAGTTGCAATGCAAACTCAAGTCCATGCACCACTTCATTCATTGATGGTCGTTTGTTCCTATCTTCATGCAAGCAGCTCACTGCTACTTCACCAAATTTCTTCAGACTCTCAGGTCCTATATTATCCTTCAAAAATGGATCAACAATCTGATCAAATGTTCCATTGTTATAACAATCTTGGGCCCAAACAGCCAAACTCGCTTGCTTCCTATCCAGCGCTCGAAGTACAAGTGGTCTAGCACACAAAACTTCAAACAACACTACACCGAATGAGTAAACATCAGATTTTTCTGTCAGCTCTTGCAAAAGAAAGTACTCGGGATCTAAGTATCCGAAAGTGCCCTTCACCATTGTACTAACATGAGTTTGGGACATGCTAGAGGGTCCTATTTTGGACAATCCGAAATCTGAAACCTTGGCCACCCATCTCTCATCTAACAAAATATTTGTTGTCTTCACATCACGATGAATGATAGTGTGCTTCGCGCCAGTATGAAGATAATGAAGCCCACGTGCTGCACCTATGCAAATCTGAAGCCGTTGATTCCATGAAAGAGGGGGATTATCGGTGTTATAGAGATGATCTCGTAGGGTTCCACGAGCCATGTAATCGTATACGAGGATCATTTCACCACCGTCATCGCAATAACCAATTAGAGAGACCAAATGACGGTGTCTGAGCTGGGAGAGCATTTCAATCTCTGTTGAAAATTCCACGGCACCCTGTTGTGACCCTGGATTTAGCCGTTTGATTGCAACAGGAGTGGCCTCATTATTAATAAGCCAGCCTTTGTACACGTTACCAAACCCGCCATTCCCGATAATTAGAATATCGTCAAAGTTGTTTGTAGCCACTTTGATTTCAGATAGCGAAAAGTGTGAAGAAAGATAAGATGGTAATTGAGATGAGCCGCAGGGCTGGCTTGACCTGTTCGTAGGAAAAGAAATTGGAACGGAAACTGAGCTTTTTGTTTTCCATTTACACCGAAAAATGAATAAAACTGCAATAGAGAGTACGAAGACAAAGCTGGATACAACAATACCAATGACTGAAATTATAATTGTAGGACTAATCTTGGGTTTTGTTGATTTTGGACTTGTTGACATAACCTGTGGGCTGTTGATCAGAGCATCAGGATTAGGTCCCGCGAGATTTCCATAATTGTCCACTTTGAAGATTTCAACGCCACTCAAGGTAGCATCAGAGTAGGTACTCATCCACTTGGCTGTTGGGTGCAGAGCAACAGAGAGATTCAGCTTCTTTTCATTCCCTTTTCCTTTGATAATCACAGCGTAATCTTTGTATATTGGAACACCATTACCATTACCCAAAGCAATTATGTCTAAATGATTTTCGGCAGTCTCATTTGCTATGTCGACCTGAAACACTCTATCACCAACTTTTGTTATCTCTATCTGAAACTCACAAAAATGAAGCCTGACAAAATAGGTAAACGCGGAATCCACTGGAAACTCCCAAGTGAGGCTATAGTTTGCATTAATTTCCTGGTCCAGTCCCATCGTCATAGCGGTTCGATAGACTACAGCTGGAGCAGTGTAATTAGCCATCTTGCTGAAATTGAGAGGCATACTAGAGTTAAAGCGAAGATAGCCTGGTCTAGCATATGTCAAGTAATCCGCGTAACTGCCAAACCAGGTTCGAAACATGCCGGTGTCTTGGTGTGGGGAGATCAGCCTGCCGCCGATATTTACTCTGTATACGGTCTCCAGGGCTGTGCTGTTTTCGATACTGTATGTAGGATCTGTGGGCCGGTGTAGAAATTTTAATGCCTTACTGCTTGCTTCGGTGTAATAAAGATTGGTAGGCATGGATACTATTTCAATTCCGTTGACAAATGCGTATGCCTGTTGATAGTCTGGACTCGGAGTAAAGGTTATGTTTAACTTTTCACCTTCTTCCACATTGAGGCAGAATTCTTTGAAAAAGGTGTCTTGGCCTATGGCAGCAGCCGTAAATGAAGCACTGAAGTTGCTTAAGAGGGTAAAAGAACCTGCTTTAACAGAGAAGAAAGCTTTCGAGTTGTCAAATTCTGGATACAAAGTTGGATAGAAGTACAAGCGGATGAACTTTTGACCCGCCGTGAGGTTGAATATGTAGGTAAATGGCCAATGAGAGAGTCGTGCTTGCAAGAAGTATTTCTCGGAACTGCTTCTTGGATTTTGAGGTGCCGCAGAGGCTATCGAAGCGTTATATTGGGTTTCAAACAGGGGCAAGTATTGAGAGCTATTATCTCCAAACCACATCCGTGTTTGATCTTCAGAGAGGAAGCTGTGAGACGAGCCACAAGCGAGAAGTATGTTTTCTGTTGCATTATAAGAATAAGGTGAGTTACCATTGACGCCGTAGGCAAGGTGGCAGACGAAGAAGGAGAGGTGGAATAGAGTGAGAATTGCTCGGATTTTAGCATGGAGATACTTACTGTAGGTGTTCTCCATTGTGTGTCGTGAAGATGAAGCACTGGTAATTACAGCTTAGGCAGATGAGTAAAATATAAACGTAGGAATGATTGGAGAAATTTGGCACTACCAACGAAGACTTGGAAAAGTCTTGAAAGTCTTTGGCAGATACTTTACAAAAAGTGATGACAACTTGTTGAGGCATTTTCTGCACTAAAAATTGTTACTTATGATTCTTCTTATCCTCCAACTTGTTGAAGAATATTAACAAATATTTTTATATCTTTCTCAATACAAAAAAGCGTGAATTCGTGTCCATATTATTCATCACATATACTAGAATCATTACAATTGTTAGTGATTTTTTCATTAAGCTCGGAGAAGTCAGAGTTCTCCGAGGTTATAACTCGACTCAGAATCAACTCGGTTCAACACTTATTTGACCCAGTATAAACTTGTCGAGATATAGTTAAACCCAACATAAACTAATCGCGACCAATCCTGATAATTGTTCAAGCAGATCATAGATAAACTCAAATCCCAAATATTTTGGAAGGGATCAGATCAACAACAATAATAGCGCGATCTTAGTACTCACACTACAACATTATGCATTTTTAGCCATAATGTTCATTGTAGCTAAAAATATGAATCTACATAGCTAAATGGTTTAGCTACAAATGTAATGTCTTGTAGCTTGTCTTAGCTAGAAGTGACGCAACTAAAAGTTAGTCATGTAACTTTTTGCTTACGTAGCTAACAATTTATAATATTTGCTATGAATGAGATTAATATGTAACTAAAAACTTGGATGTTTTTGTCACAACAATAATAAACTTGTTGCAAAAGCTTTGCCTTTATAGCCATGGAGAATAGTCACTATAGCTATGTTTGCATTTTAGCTACACAAATATAAATTTATAACTAAAACTTGAAAATTCATGCTACGAAAATAATATTTATGGCAAATATATTAATATTTTAGCTACGTGAACACTAAATTCGTAACTAAATAAAAAGATCACTTGCCACATATATAGTGAATTCGTAACTAAATATTAAATTTTTGCTACGGACATATAAAAATCATATCTATATATAAAAAAACATTGCTATGGATATAGTGTGTTAATAGCTAAATATTGAAATTACTTGTTATGAATACTTTTGATTTGTAGCTAAATATTATAATTATTTGCTATGGAACAAATAATTTATATCAAGAATTTATAATTTATTGCTTCGATTAAAATTAATTGTAACAAATATTGCTATAATTAACAAATTTAATAATAATTACAAATTTATAGCAATATTTTTATAGTAAATAGATAATATAATGTCATGAGAACAATTCTAATATAAAAAATAAAACATTAATAAAATCATTTTCAACCAAATAATTGTCTACTCATAAAATCTTTCGTCCTAGTAATTAAAAATGTTATCAACTAGTTTTTTTTTTTTACAAAATATGAATGTTTCAATGTCATAGCAACCTTTCTTGACCATTTAAGAATTTCCACCAACCTGCAATATCAAATTTGAAAAAAAAAAAAAAGATTAATCATATAGACTAATGTAATCATTGCATATCACTTTATGATTAATGTAAAAGAAAAATAGTTTTCATAGTATATATGCAGTTTTCAAAATAATTTACAATTTCATCCAAAGAGATTTGATTATTTATTGAAGATTATTGACCTTGAGTTCTAAGCATCATCATGAACTTCTCTTCCCATTGTCTATTCATCTCCTCCATTTGCCTTTTTACTTCTTCTAATTTCTCATTTGCTTCCTCTTTGCCTCCTTCACCCTTTCATTTGCTTCCTTCCTAGTTGTTTGTACTTATTTCATAAGTTATGCTTTAGTTGATCTACTTCCAAAACATTCAGTAATACTTTTTCCTGGCCCATTTTCCTCTGAACCAAGGACCTCTTCAAATATTTTATCATCATTCAATAAGATTTGTCCTTCTACTTGTTTTTTTAATCAATCAAACTGTGACTACAAAATAAATTTATAAATTAGCTTGGATGTGTGTGCATAATAAAAAATCAAGAAATAGTTAAAGAGAATACAAAACTATTACAATAATGTCTTCTATACTAGATTCAACTTGCTTTCCTTTCTTTCTTTTGTGAGATTCAATCCAAACTTCAACACGAGAAGGAGTATATAAAACTGAATTTATTTTTTAAAAAAAGAAAGAAAGATAGGGGAAATTAGAAACAGCAAGGTCTCTTATTCACATTTGACAGGTTTCTTGTTCAGGTTTATATCAATGACTTCCATTGCGTGAATTATAACATTTTTATAATAAAAGTCAAGTCATACTAATTAAACTCGTCATTGATGAATTTTAAAAGACAGAGGCAAAAATCATGGGCCATGGAAACTTGTTTCGCTTTAAAATTAAATTAAACATAGTTCCACATAATATATACACTTTAAACTGAACTATATTAGTAATTGAATATGCATGATAAAAATTTTGAGTGGGACCAAAATCCAAACTACAAGCTCACTTAAATCATGTGATCAATTGTGGGAATATTGAAGTTGCATTTCAATCTTAATTATAATTCCTTTAATTTCGCTATTTCTTTTGTAAAAAACTTGTATATAAACCCTTTTCAGTGATAGAAAAAAGGTTAGCAAATTGTTCTAAGCATAATATTACTTTCTTGTAAGTTCTTAAAGAAATAAAAAATATAGTGGATGTAGGCTTAAGATTATAATATGCCGAACCACTTTAAAAACCTAATTATGTTCTTTACTTTTTCTGCATTTATGCATATCACATTGTTGACTAACTTTAATCACACGTGCATCTGTTTTGACTCCACAAAGGTCAATTGGATCACTCTAGTTTGTATAATTAATTATTGCATCAACAATTACCATATAGAAAATTTAGTAGAAATCCATATAAAATCGCCACCAACAAGATTTTAATGTTGGAAAAGGTTTATTTATTTAGCTTTATGAAATTTAATATTAATCATTGTTACATGATAGCTAAACTAAACCCATACATGATAGTCAAACCACTGTTGCAACCATAGTCGGTCCCCATCTACAGTAATTTGGTGATTTCATCATCTTCTGCGACCAAAATAAACGTCGAAATCCAATGGAATTACCGAATTCTTGTAGATGTTTGTACCCACTTTTCACTATCTGAGATCAAAGTGGCTACCAACAACTTTGATGGTGTTCATTATTGGCGTTGTAGGGTTTGGTAATGTGTAGAAAGTAGAAAGGTTACATTAGCGATGAGTCCACACCAATTAATTGCAACCAAATGGCTAAACCCAGGGTCACAACAGTGAGCCAACGAATTCAAAACCGAGAAATCAAACGTATACTTGTTTGGTGTAGTCTTGTTCGAAGTATTGTGTGCTAGACCACCTATAATTCATACGGGGATAAGAACCTAGCCGTGCATGTCGGGCATGAAAGAAGGTGTTAGAAGTTGTATTTCAGTTCCATTGATAAAAGCAAATGCTTTTTGGTAGTAAGTACTTGGTGTGAAGGTTATGTTTAACCTTGATCTTCTTCCACAATATTAATCCAGAACTCTTTGAAAAAGACGTCTTGGCCTATGGCAGCAGCCGAAAGTAAAGCACTGAAGTTGCTTAGAAGAATAAAAGAACCCGCTTTAACAGAGAAGAAAGCTTTAGAGCTGTCAAAGTTTGGATATTGAGTTGGATAGAAATACAGGCGGATAAACTTTTGACCGGCCGTGAGGTTTATTGGATAATAATACTTTTCAGAATGAAGCCCACGTACAGCTGGACATCACCACTACTTCACCTAAGGGCTCTCGGCATTTTCCTGATGAAAACGGGTAGTGTTGATCTGCTGTGTTTTCCTTTTTAGTTAGTTATTTTTTTGTTGCTGAGTTGTACAAATATTAGTGGTAGAGTTTGTTATTTTCTTTCTTCGAGAATCCTCTGTACAGAAGGCATAAATACATGCTATTTGTGCCCATTTTCACAATCAATGAGAAAGATTCATTTCAGTTGACACTGATATTTTTTCCCTGCTTTTCTCGTGCTCTGTTTTTCAACTGTAATATGGNTGATAATAAAACATGATTTCAAAAAGTCAATTTACAAAATAGGATTGACTCTTTGTAATCATGGTAGAAATAGTGCATTCAACAAATGATTGAAGAATTTCTAACGTATAATATTTTATATTAGCGTTAACGACTTTTTCCCATCCAAATGATGACTTAATGACACTTTCTCACCCACAGACTTTAACAATACCACTTTAGTACCCAAAGTTAGTAATTTTCGTTGTGAGGAAGGATAAGACGGTCAAAAGTTCGTTATAAGTGAGAGCATAATAGTCAACTAACATTTTGCATTCGAAATCAAAATTTAAAATTACATAAGACAACTTTCATCCTCTCTTTTCGTCTTTCTTTTTCTTTCCTTCTCTCGCATCGGGCCGCTTTCTCTTTTTTTTTTCACTTTTCTTTTCTTCCTTCTTTTTCTCTCTTCCCATTCTTTCTTTCTTTACCCCCCACTTCCCATAACCACCCGTTAACACAACAAATGTCAACTCCTTCCAAATCTAAGACGAGGCACGCCACACTGTCATCGTCGTCAGCCACCCAAAAGGCTGTTGGAGAGAAGTATAAGGAAGAGTCATGGATTAAAAGATTATGCTAACTCCTTATCTACAATAAAGCACCAAACATAGTTTTGTAATAGTGGTCAATATGTTGTTTTTTGAATTATCTAAACTTTGCCAGATTTTAATAAACTTAATAGAAGTTTCTTCGTAGAAACACTGCTTGCATTGTGTTTTTCTTTTTCCTCTTAATCATAATGATTTCTTCATCGATCTCGTAAATGAATTTCTCAGCAACCATATTGTATAAATGAGCTGGGTGGGTAGAATTTTAAGTGTAATTTGGTAGGGATTCATTCCTCTGGGTGGTGATGATTATTGCAGAGATGACATTTAATTAGCCTTAGAAGGACAAATTTATTGCGAAGAAGAGATAATCTATTGAAT